ATGAAGAAGGATTAAGAGAAATGCAAGATAATATGAAACGTAATAATATCCGAATAATAGGAATACCAGAAGGAGAAGAAGAAGAAGGAGGGATAGAAAACATATTTGAAAGAGTAATAAGAGAAAATTTCCCTAATTTGACAAAAGAAAAAGTCACACAAATACAGGAATCTCACAGAGTCCCATTCAAGAGGAACCCAAGGAGGCCCACTTCAAGACACAGCATCATTAAAATGGCAAAATTCCAAGACAAAGAAAGAATCTTAAAGGCAGCAAGGGAGAAAAAAGAAATAACATACAAGGGAGTCTCAATAAGGTTAGCCACTGACTTCTCAATGGAAACACTCCAAGCAAGAAGAGAATGGCAAGGAATATTCCAAGTAATGAGAACCAGAGGCCTACAACCAAGGCTACTTTACCCAGCAAGGCTCTCAATCAAGATAGAAGGCCAAATAAAGAGCTTCCAAGACAAAAGAAGTCTAAAAGAATTTGCTGCCACCAAGCCAGCGCTACAAGAAATATTAAAAGGTCTGCTTTAAGGAAAGGAAGGAAAAGAGACAGACAGAGAGGAACACAGGTACAAAAATGGCAATGAATAAGTACCTATCAATAATAACCTTAAATGTAAATGGATTAAATGCTCCAATCAAAAGACACAGAATAGCTGCATGGATAAGAAAGTATGACCCACACATATGCTGCCTACAAGAGACCCACCTCAAGACAAAAGACCATCACAGACTAAAAGTGAAAGGCTGGAAACAAATTTTCCAAGCAAATGGGCAAGAAAAAAAAGCTCAGGTAGCGATTCTCATATCAGACAAAATAGACTTCAAAAAAAGAGCCATAAAGAGTGACCCAGAAGGTCACTTCATAATAATCCAGGGAAGAATCCACCAAGAAGACATTAACATCATAAATATATTTGCACCCAACCGAGAAGCACCAAAATATATAAAGAAAATCTTAGAGGAATTCAAGAAAGATATAGACAGCAACACAATTATAGTGGGGGATTTTAACACCCCACTATCCAAAATGGACAGATCTTCCAAACAAAATATCAACAAAGACATTGTGGTATTAAACAACACCCTTCATGAAATGGACCTAATTGATATATACAGAGCCCTTCATCCCAAAGAAGCTAAATACACATTCTTTTCAAGTGCACATGGAACATTCTCAAAGATAGACCACATGATAGGCCACAAAACAAGCCTCAACAAATTCAAGAATATTGAAATCATACCAAGCATTTTCTCTGACCACAAGGGACTGAAACTGGAAACCAACCCCAAAGGAAAAAACCCAAAACACCCAAAATCATGGAGACTGAATGGTATGCTATTAAACAATGAATGGGTCAAGAATGAAATTAAGGAAGAAATCAAAAAGTTTCTGGAAACAAATGAAAATGATCTCACAACAACCCAAAACTTATGGAACACAGCAAAGGCAGTCCTGAAAGGGAAGTTTATAGCAATATAGGCCTGCCTAAAGAAGATAGAAACATTTCAAACAAACAACGTTACTCTACGCCTACAAGAACTTGAGGAACAACAACAAAAACAGCCCAAAGCAAGTAGAAGGAAGGAAATAACTAAGATCAGAGCAGAACTAAATGACATAGAGACTAAAAGCACAATTCTAAGGATCAGTGAATCCAGGAGTTGGTTCTTTGAAAAGATAAACAAAATAGACAAGCCTTTAAGTAGGCTCATCAAGAAAAGAAGGGAACGGATACAAATAAACACAATCAGAAATGAAAGAGGAGAGATTACAACTGATACCACAGAAATAGAAAGGATATTAAGAAATTACTATGAATTACTGTATGCCAAGAAATTTGAGAACCTAGGGGAAATGGACACATTTCTAGAAAAATATAATCTCCCAAAACTCAATGAAAAAGAAGTAGAACACCTGAGTAGACCAATAACAGCAAAAGAAATTGAAGCAGTAATCAAAAAACTCCCATCACACAAAAGACCCAGACCAGATGGGTTCACAGGAGAATTCTACAAAGCATTTAAGGGAGAGCTAACCCCCATTCTTCACAGACTATTCCAAAAAATCCAAAAGGATGGAAAACTCCCAAACTCCTTTTATGAAGCCAGCATCATCCTAATTCCAAAACCAGATAGAGATACAACAAAGAAAGAAAACTTCAGGCCAATATCACTGATGAACATAGATGGTAAAATCCTCAACAAAATGTTGGCTGATCACATCCTACAATATATCCAAAAGATTATACACCATGACCAAGTGGGATTCATCCCAGGGATGCAAGGATGGTTCAACATTCACAAATCAGTAAATGTAATTCATCACATAAACCAAAGCAAAGACAAAAACCACATGATCATATCAATAGATGCGGAAATGGCTTTTGATAAGGTACAGCACCCATTTATGATAAAAACACTCAGCAAAGTGGGAATAGAGGGAGCATTCCTCAATATAATAAAGGCCATTTATGAGAGACCTACAGCCAATATCATACTCAATGGGCAAAAACTAAAAGCTTTTCCACTAAGATCAGGAACAAGACAAGGATGTCCACTTTCACCACTTCTATTCAATATGGTATTAGAAGTTTTGGCCACAGCCATCAGGCAGGAAAAGGAAATAAAAGGCATCCAAATAGAAAAGGAGGAAACAAAACTGTCACTGTTTGCAGATGACATGATAGTGTACATGGAAAATCCTATAGACTCTACCCCAAAACTGTTCAAACTAATTAATGAATTTGGCAAAACAGCAGGTTACAAAGTCAATATCCAGAAATCAAAGGCATTTTTGTATACGAACAATGAATCAGCAGAAGCAGAAATCAAGGAAAAAGTCCCATTCGATATAGCAAAAAGAAAAATAAAATATCTGGGAATAGACCTAACCAAGGATGTAAAAGACCTGCATGCAGAAAACTACACAGCACTGAAGAAAGAAATCAGGGAAGACACAAACAAATGGCAACATATACCGTATTCATGGATTGGAAGAATTAACATAATCAAAATGTCCATACTACCCAAAGCAATATACAGATTCAATGCAATACCCATTAAAGTACCAATGGCATATTTCACAGACATAGAACAAACACTTCAAAAATTTATATGGAATCATAAACGAGCCCGAATAGCAGCTGCTCTTTTGAGGAAGAGGAACAAAATAGGAGGAATCACAATACCTGATATCAAACTGTATTACAAAGCCACTGTAATCAAAACAGCCTGTTACTGGCATAAAAACAGGCACATAGACCAATGGAACAGAACAGAGAGCCCAGAAATAAACGCAACTCTCTACAGTCAATTAGTATTTGACAAAGGGGGCAGTAACATAAAATGGAGTAAAGATAGCCTCTTCAGCAAATGGTGTTGAGAGAAGTGGACAGCTACGTGCAAAAAAATGAAACTTGAGCACCAACTTACTCCATACACCAAAATAAATTCAAGGTGGATAAAAGACTTAAATATAAGCTGCGACACCATTAAAGTCCTAGAAGAGAACATTGGCAAGAAAATCTCAGATATTCCACGCAGCAACATTTTTACGGATATGTCCCCTAGAGCAAGGAATGTAAAGGAAAGAATAAACAAATGGGATCTCATCAAAATAAAAAGCTTCTGCATGGCTAAAGAAAACAGTATTAAATTAAAAAGACAACGAACTGTATGGGAAAACATATTTGCCAATGATACCTCGGACAAAAGTTTAATACCCAAAATATACAAAGAACTTACATGACTGCACTCTAGGAAGACATTTAACCCTATTAAAAAATGGGAAAAGGACTTGAACAGACACTTCTCCAAAGAGGACATACAGAATACCCAGAGACACATGAAGAGATGCTCAATATCATTAGCTATCAGAGAGATGCAAATTAAAACCACAATCAGATACCACTTTACACCAGTCAGGATGGCTATAATAAAGAAAGCAACAAACAACAAATATTAGAGAGGTTGTGGGGAAAAGGGGTCCTTAGTTCACTGTTGGTGGGATTGCAGACTGGTATAACCATTATGGAAAACAGTATGGAATTTTCTCAGAAAAATAAAAATCGACCTGCCTTTTGACCCAGCAATTCCACTGCTAGGATTATACCCCAATAATCCTAAAACATCAATTTCAAAGAACCTATGCACCACAATGTTCATAGCAGCACAATTTACAATAGCCAAGAGTTGGAAGCAACCTAGGTGTCCATCAGTAAACGAATGGATCAGAAAATTGTGGTACATATACACAATGGAATTCTATGCAGCAGAGAGAAAGAAGGAGCTACTACCCTTTGCAACAACATGGATGGAACTGGAAAGCATTATGCTGAGTGAAATAGGCCAGGCATTGAAGGACAAATACCATATGATCTCACCTTTGACAGGAAGCTAAACAATAAAACAAATAAGCAAACAGAATAAAAACAAAGACACTGAAATAGAGAACAAGTGGGTAGCGACCAGAGGGGAGAGAGAAGGGAATTTAAAGGGAAAAATAGGGTGGGATTTTAAGGGACAAGTATGAAAGGCACCGGGATTAGGACTGGGGGAGAGGGGATGAGAGGGAGAGCGGAAACAGGGCGGGGGGGGGGGGGATGGGAGAAATAGGCAAAAAATGTACTTGAAAAATAACTAAATAAAAATCTTTAAAAAAGCACTAAAATTTTATGATAAGAAAATGCAAATGATGTTATTTTGTATCAAGAAAAAATGGTAAAATTCCATTTTAAATTGTTTCAAGGTTTTTTCTTTCCTCTGGAGTCTGTCTTCTTTGCTACATTCAATGTATTACATGAAGCTAAAACTTCGTTGTGAATTTCTTTTAAATAATTGCACATTCAATTGACTAAGCATTAAGGGAAAGTATGTTTGCTGAATAGGAAATGAGATCCTATGTTTTCCATATTTCTTCCTTAAAAACTGAGATTCAGCTGAATATTTACCCATTTCCTTCTCTCACCACACTCTGTAATTGCTTCACAGGCCATGGCATGTGTTCCTGTGGTCGCTGCATTTGCGAGAGAGGATGGTTTGGAAAGCTCTGCCAACATCCCAGAAAGTGTAACATGACAGAAGAACTGAGCAAGAGTCTATGTGAATCAGCAGATGGCATAGTGTGCTCAGGAAAGGGTGAGTGTCTCTGCTGGAGCTTAGACTGGATCCCTGTTTTGACACATGATTTGCACAGCAGCATGCAGGTAACATCTTTTTCAGACTTTAATTTGCGTGAAGAAAATCACTCTGTCCTCTGTTTGTACCAGACATTAAGCTTGAAAGTTAACCAGGTGAAGATTAGTATCCAAGGAAATGACAGCAGGAAATGAATTGCACATAATAAGATCCTCAGCCACTTGCATGCAACCTCAATACAATTAATAATTGTATAAGAAGAAAGTACAGTAAGATATACTAGGTTCTGAATGCACTGCCTCCCCCCACCTAAGCAAAACAATAATCATTGAGTTCACCTGTGAAACAGCAGCGCCCAGAAATGAGAAAACACTCTTGAAGCTCCTGAAATTCGCACTTAATGTTAGGGAGCTGCACTGCCTGGAGCTACAGGTCATTTGCCAGCAGTCTTCTTCGGCTCAGACTTCTTGCAGAACAAACAAGGTTCCCCTTTTCAGACTGCCATACCCGATGCTGCATTTACCTTCCAACACCTAACCAGGGTCAAGAGTGGCAAGTAATATCTTTCTAAAGAAACACAGTAAAACAAAATTGATCTGCTAAGGAAGTCTCAGAAGCAGAATGTGCCATGGAGTCCTGCCCCTTAGCAGTGGCTGTTGCTTTACCTGTCAGTCAAGTCTATGTTATTTAGTGAGAGAGGTGTTTTGATGTAATTGCAAAAATAAAATCAGATGGATGCTGAACACATGGTGCCAGGAGGAAGGCTGAAAATTGATACAAATATGTTCATTTCAATACACAACCATGTCCTTGGTTTCCAGGAATTCTGTGTTTGAGGCCGGTGTTTGTTAGTCAGGAGGCCATGTCTTCAGCCTAATGCAATTACAGCAGCCTGGTGGCAATGAAATGAATTTAAAACAATAACTTTCTCCTATTAAATTAATTCTAAGCTTTAAACAAATATTTTACCTTTTCAGTTTTCAGGGGCCCTCAGCTCCTGGAAATACTAGTTTTAGTTCAAGAAGTTCTGCTGGGAGAACCAGAAGGAGGGAGGAGATATTAAAAGGAAGAAATTGGGAAGGAATTGCAGAAGAAATTAACAAAGAGAACAAGAAAGGGGATAGGAATAGAATTAACCTTCAAGGGAGAAGCAGGAGGGAAGACAGAAATGTTGTCTGATCAGAAGGGAGTATTTTGTGTATAAAATAGTCCTGAGAATGATTAACGTGTCTGAATTAAATTTTATTCTTGTCTGAATTAAATTTTATTCTTCTGAGTATAGTTTAAAATACAGAGCCCTAATGTTTAGGTATTTTTTCTTGTTTTCATGATGGAGTTATCCTTAGTATAAGGATATTAACTTTTCACAGAAACTCTGGTGAATGAGGCTACTGATTTGCATTACAACATTGTTGTGCTTGTTTATACTTACTTTAAAAATCAGCCATATTATGTGTGTGTTTACTATGAAATAATCAGCAGTGTTCATAGGCAGGTCTTTCATGTTCATGTTCAGCTGCAAGTCCAGGGAGAAAACATAAACCACGCTCATCTGCGTGGTGAACATCAGTCTGTCAGGCCCTAAGTGGGATTTTATGCAATAATAGGAGTGACTTGTTTTCAAGAAATAAACATTCTTATTAAAGTCATTACATTTGCCAGACAGATTCTCATTTTTCAGCATCACAAATATAGAACATGTGCCCTCCCAAAATGGGTGAACTGAAAGGCATTTCCTCAAAAACGAAACAAGAAAATCTCTTTAGTTAATGCCTCTTTCAAACCGTTTGCTTTATGTGATGGAACTATATCTATGGATCCCTGAAGGGTTGAAAGCATATATTCTAAACCATTTGTTTATTATTTAGTGGGTAGAGAATTTTTAGTCTCTAAACTCAAAAGGAATTGTAGAAGCTGCCTCAGGGCTGGTGTTAGTAATGTTTTGAGCCTGGTATTAGTGATGATGGTGGCATTCTATTGCTTGCAGTAGCTGTATGCAGGCTCCTTTCTTTGCGTATTCTGGAGACAACAGTGTTGGATTATAGAAGAGCAAGCCTAAAACCAAGTCCATGAAACTATGCTCTTTCACAGGCACAGAAAATAGTGGGGATGCAGCAGTTATTTCTGTCTCCATGGAGGATACCACCCACCACCCTCACCTCAAGAACCATAGAAAAAGTAACTCATAAAAAACTAAGGGTTTTTGACATTGTACAGAGAAGATAAACCTATTAAAACTTTTTCTGACTGGGGCCAGGTATTTCTTGATAGATTTAATGGACTTGCCAGAATTCTGTATACTTTTCCTCAAAACTGTAAATGAAAACCCCTAACCCTGATCATCACGAAGGAAATTGGAGTATTTTTCTTTCTCTGACTAGGGGCCATGAAGTCACCATGGCACACCACTTAGCAACCTGTACCCAGCTGTTTCCACCAGAGAGACAAATCTGAAACTGTGAATAAAGCCATCACCTCAGGAGACGATGAAGAAATAGCATTTTATTTCTTTACAAATTTATAGCCAAGACAATAAATCACTCCATAGAAAAATTTAAAATAAGATACATTGTTGTGACTTTCATAACGAATAGAGTCGTTAGTACAATAGTGAAAACTGCCTGCTGGGATGTCAGGTTGCAGCATTTTGTCAGGCATGATAAATGAAAGTAAAAACTCCACTTTGTTCATGGGGCAGCTAACAAAGGTACTCACTCTTCAACTCAAACTGCAATTTTTTGTCAATAACCAGAGAAGTGAGCTTAGAGCCAGGTCTCCCATAAGCTTAGCTGCTACCTTTGTGGAATATATCATACAAAGCAGAGACCCCAAAAACTTGAATTATCTTTTGAATGGCAGATCCCTTGTAGTGCAGGTTTGCCAGTAGGTGAGTGTTCTAGGAACCCATCTGTATCAGTGTACCAACTGGAATTGTTGTGAGAGGCTGTGTTCAGCTTCAGTGAAGTTTTTGAAGACTTTTTCAATGTGTTTGCCCATTTCAAGATGGGAGATTTATGAGTGAGTACACTTGCCTACCCTGCATGAGTGTTCTGCAGTTTTTGACCAAAATTGGCATGACCCCTGCGCCCACCCTCCCTATTTACCTACAGTGACTTTTTTGTTTGTTTCCCTGGGTGAAAAAATCCTCAAAGGGAAAGGGTTTGCTGATGTAGAAGAGGTAAAACCAAAAAAAATGCAGAAGCACTAAAGGGCATCAAAATTGATCAGTTCAAAAACTGTTTTGAACAGCAGAAAAAATATCTCAAAAGATGTATTGCATCAAATGGAGAGTACTTTAAAGGTGACTGAAGTTAAGCATATAAGAATAAGTATACAATATTTTACAAACAAATTCTGATTTGGGGGTTATGTCCCCTCATATAATTCATCAAATGTTTGTTTGGGTATTTATTCATATCCAACAGTATATAATAAACTTTTTAACTTGATAACTTTAAGCTAGGTCCATGTCATCACCTCTGATGTTCTTAAAGATGTTGCCTGACAGTAGCTGTAATCACATGTCATTAAATGTCTCCTTGGAACTTTCACAATTATACTATTGAGTCCTATATCATCCAAATAAGTCCCTGGTACACCCACCCATCCACTTATCCCTCACCTCTACCCACCCTGGCTGATTCTCTATGCCCCCAAAAAGATGGGACAAGTTAAACTTCAAAAACCAGATAAGCCAGTGCTCTAGTTGCCTCACCCAATATAGCTGTCACTCATATCAGTAGGAACACACAACTAATTTTTTAATCTATATTAAAGTTTTTCTTGTGAGAGATATCACAGCTAGGTAGATAGGCAGACAGTAGGTTGAATCAGATTGGAATTTTAGGTTAACTGGTTTTCTGTTGTTGTTGTTTTTCTTTTTCTTTTTTATTGCCCATGTAGCCCAGTGTTATTCCCTTGCCCTTTCTTTATTTCCATTTTCTCATCTCTGAAGTCAGAAGAATGTCATTTCTTTCCTGTTCTTAAGTCCTAAGGATGCTCTGAAGACAAATGAGAAAATGTGACAGATTCCCCAGGAATGGGAGTCAGTAAGAAGCATAGAAGGGAGATCAGAGCATTCTTAAGGGTCTTTATACTGAGAAAGAAATTAAATGGATTAGCAGTGTCATGGTCATGAATCTACCACCCTAGAGTTCATGCCAGGATGGACCAGCTGCTCCCTATGGCTGGCCTGGCACTCACGGGCATGACTAAGTCCTCGTCCACCTGAGCTGAACAATGTGTCACCTCTTGGCACTCATGTGGCTTATATATGTCAGAAAGAATCCTCTTCTAAAGGTTTTCCCTTTCCAGAGATGGGCAATTTGATCCTCAGTAATTTATGAAAACAGCCAGAACACTCTATAACAAAGGTGCTATAAGACATACTAATAACAATGACACTGTGCTATTATTACATGCTATGCTACTCCTTGTTTCAGAATCAGTAGAAAAAATTTCTACCTCTATGATGCACTGAGAATTCACAAAAAAAGAAAAGAACAACACAGCTGGGGAAAATGCTGACCAACGAAAGCTAGTTTTTCATAGCATGTACAAAAATAAGTCTCCATTTTTCATTTTAAGTATTTCAATGACTAGTAGACTTTTAGAACTGGAATTTTCTTGCCAAATGGTCTATCAAAGTATACTGCTGTTATAGAAGTAATTTTTCCAAGTGAGGGTTTTTTAGTCTGTTATTTAAAGACATTTAGGCTAAGAGAAATTTCTTCTCTCTTTACCACTATTTAATTCACTATTAATGGTACACTATTCTAAATGCACCATTAATAAAGTTGTTTCTCAGCAGACCAAAATATTTTTAATAACCAAAGAGCAAGTTTTTAATTAGGTAGGAAGTAATAAAAGGGGAAATGGATGAAGTAATGAGAAAGGTGGTTGGATTGCCTCATTAAAGCTGAACATTTTGGCAGGATGGTTATGGCTATCCTGGATTATGGCAGGAAATCCTGAGAATAAAATTTAGTAAGTCAAATATACATGAATGTTTTTTGTGTATTTTCAGCACTTCAATGAGTCACCCAATATGCAGGTCTGTCTTTACTTTAAGGAAATCATATAAACAAAAATCTATGAGTATAAACACAATAAATTTAGCAGTTGTTTTAATTATAAAATGTAGCCTCACTTAATAAAATTTTCTATTCAATTCCTTTAAAGGACAGACACTTTTAAAACATAATTCAATTCAGAAAAAATAACATCTATTCTTGAACACCTTTTTGGAAGGCCATTTATAAAAATCAGTCACATTCTGCTCTTATTAACATTTTAACCAGACTGAGCCATGGAACACGTGCTCAAGGCTAATTGCTACTGTTTAGATCCATAATGAAGCCTTTCCTGGATAACCATTCTGAATTACAGTAAGTAAAGCACCCTTCTGAGCAACTGGCTATTCCATAATATTTTACCATTGGAAGGTAGGTTATTAGAAGCCTATTGTCAATGCATTGATGGTATTCTATTCTAGACAGAAACCTTTAGTTATGTGGTGACTACCAATATACATACCCTTTGTGATTTCAGGTTCTTGTCACTGTGGAAAGTGCATTTGTTCTGCTGAAGAATGGTATATTTCAGGAGAATTCTGCGACTGTGATGACAGAGACTGTGACAAACATGATGGTCTCATTTGCACAGGTGCAGTACTGACCTACTCCAATTGATCTATGCCACATTGTGCAATAAAGGCAAATGACACACCTCACATTTTGCTGTACATCACTAGGAAGGAGAGCTTCTGTATTGTCAAGGGCCAAATAATATAAAGTGTATAAATGGAGGTGGGCATTTGTGAATAAGCACTAACATTATTTCCAGGCAGAGAATACAAACAAATGCACCAAAATTATATAATTTTTGGGAAAATTCCCAAAGTAACTTTCCCCAATTTCCACATATGCTATTTTACATATTGCAAAATGAAAATAATTCTCTCGATAACTAATAAGAAAAGAATTCTCTCTTGAGCATGGTGTAGAGAATGTAATATTATTTTAAACAGGAAACAAGTACCAAAGTTGGTTGATATATTGGTTGTTTTTAAGGAATGGAAAGTGTGTGTGGTGCGGAGGGAGGGTGGGAGTACGAAAACAAGTTAAGAGTATAATAGCTACTGTTATCGTGAGTTATTGAGTTCTAATAATTGGTTCTGAAATACATGTTCTTTAAAAAGTTGTAGGAGAAATATAGACACATATATTTGTTCTCCATGTTTTTTTAATGAATTTATTTATTTATTTTTAGAGAGAGGGGAAGGAAAGCAAAAAGAGAGGGAGAGAAATATCAATATGTAGTTGCCTCTTATGTGTCATCTTCTGGGTCCTCACCCACAACCCAGTGATGTGCCCTGGCTGGGAATCGAACCAGCAATTTTTGGGTTCACAGGCCTGTGTTTAATCCACTGAGCTACACCAGCCAGGGCTTGTTCTCTGTGTTTCTAGCTAAAGATCAAAGATAAATATTAGTGTCATTAAGCTAGACATTCACTTTCTGTCTATCCTACTATGCAATGTTCCTCTCCTAGCTGATTATTCAGCCCAGCTCATACTATGTCAGGGAGCTTTAAGATCTTTAGCATTTATTCATAAGTCACATGTAACTTGCCCTCTACAGAAAAAGAAAATTATGACATGGAAACTTAGTTGGAGTGATACTAATGGTCACCATTAGATTGATGCTAACTTGAGAGTGGCACCAAGTAAATACCATTAATTGTTTGAAAGACAGCAATGAGAAAATTAGCAGATAATAAATAAAATGGCTTTGATTATGAACAGTTATAGTTTACAATAACATCTTTTAACTCAGTATATTTCAATCATGATAATGATCCTTCTGTGTATTTTATTTCAGGGAATGGAATATGTAGTTGTGGAAACTGTGAATGCTGGGATGGATGGAATGGAAATGCCTGTGAAATCTGGCTTGGCACAGACTATCCTTAATTAGATGGAAGAGGACTGGATTCTTATTTTCATAGGCCATTAGAAAATGCAAATGCAGAGGAAACCATATATAATCACCACGAGGACAGGGCAAAGAGACTATTGTATGTTTTTGTATTTCTGAAAGCGTGAATGAAATCTGGATACTTATTAACAATGAGTAAAGCAAAATCTTATGTACATAATACCAGAAATAAATTTTTCTTTCACAGTTTACATCAGTGGTTCTCAACAAGGACAACTCTGCCACCCAGAAAACATTTAGCAATGTCCACAGACAATTTTGATTGCCACGCTGGGTTGGATGGAAGGGTGTGCTACAGGCATCTAGTGGGTAGAAGCCAGGGATGCTGCTAAACACAATACATGCACAAGACATTCCCCCATGACAAAGAATTATCTGACTTTAAGTGTCAATAGTGCTGGAGTTGAGAAATGCTGAATTACATGGTTGTTAGAAATGCACATCCTACACAACAAAGGCCATTTTAGAATATAAGAAAACTATACATCCTCACATAAATCTGTCGAACGTATTTTTCCAGGATTCTATATCACTCAGTATTTCCATATGGAGACAATGAAGACAAACACACATGAAGTATAATGTTGGACCAGGTGGGATGCAGAGGCAAGATCATTAGTACTTTTGAAAAGATAATGGCTATTTTTAGTCATTAAGACATTTGTGTAATCTCACTTTAAACTCACAAAAGATTGTTTAAAGATAAAAATTATGAAAATGTACAATTTAACATTTTAAATAAATAGTGACACAAGTCATTTACACTGTGTCATATGTATTTTAACAACTGATGATTAACAAAAATGAGTTATTCAAAAGCATCCATTTTTATTACTAAAATATTTTTTTTAACTGGGCATGGGTTACATGTATAAGAAATCTGATTTTCCACTAATTAAGTTACTCCATGGTAAATTGCTTTTTGAAAAGACAATATCTATAATAGACCAAAAATCTGTATTTCTTTCTCTTAAAATACTCTCTTACTTCTAAGTACACATTACTTATTGAAATATCAAGGTCATGCACAAAAATCAAGAACAGATGCCATAATAATAATATGGCACCAGTCTCAAAAGCTCAGAGAATAAAAAGAAAAATCTAGAAATGGTTTAAATAGAAATTACAAATAATCACAATGATGGGAACAAAATGTTTATTTTTATGATGAAATTTTGCTCTGTATGAAATTTACATTGGATTATAAAAATGTACAATTTGGACTTCCCTTACATATTTGCAGTTAAATCTACTAACACACATTAGTTTAGACAGCCTTTAATTATTTAGGGCTAAAAAAGACACACATTTTCTCTAAATGTGAATTATATTGTGTAAAATCCTATAATTAATAAAATCATTTTCATATTGTTTAAACGTGAAAATTTTTACTTGGGAATTTTACTTAATGATGTAAATATTTTAGAGACATGGGTTGGACTTTGTAAGTCAAATTACCAAAAGTGAGGAAAATATGTGTTTGCTGAATTACTTATAATTGATATTGAAAATGATTTAAGAGAAAATTTAATTAATGTTGATTTTTTTAATACTAATAGTGTTTTCATACTTTAACAGATTTATGAAGTTGTTCTCTCTATCTTGAGATTAAGGAGAGAAACTATATTAGTTGTATGATTGTTGAGCATGTCAATTGAGATATCACTTTTGTAAAATGAGGGAAATATAAGCAGTTAAGAAATAGATTATATTCTTTCCTCTTCTCTAAGCATTTTAAGTTTCAAACAAACTTACTATAATTGTTCACTAGCAATTGAAATGATGACTTATTTGACGATGGACACATTGGAATTCACTACATTATCCAGCCATCACAGTACAAGGTGTGATGTCCAGTACATGTCCAGGTTCCCTTATTGCAGAGTTCTGCTTTTTATGGAAAGAACCAAATAGTAAATATTTTAGAATTTGTGGACCACATACATCTCTGTTGCATATTCTGCTTTGTTTGTGTTTGACATTATAAAACCATAAAAAATAAAAGAAAAACTCATTCTGAACTCCTGGGGCATAAAAAAAAAACTAATTGTGAGCTGGATTTGGCTCACAGCCAAAGAGTAGTGAGCTTACACGTGCTCCGCTGGCATGGCCCTTAATTTCCTTCTCCTGCTCATGTAAACTGAGGTGTGTCTCACATTTCTATATTTGTTTTCTCTTTTAATTAATTGCAACTACAATAAAAGTGTTGCTATTTTTAAATTTAATGAAAGAAAAATGTCCTTGGCATTTATGTTTTAAAGAAAAAGTTTAGATATGGAGAAATGTTTATTATAAAGTTCAGAATTTGATTTGTCCACTTTTTTGACAAGCTGAAAATACATAGCAGTCGACTATATTCTTGGTTCATTTAGCAACAAATTACTGAACTGAAATTTTCTATATTTCTTGTGTGTGTTTCATTTTGACTTAGCTTGCAAACACAAATAGATCTATTAAGAAGCAAGTTAGTTTATAAGTTTAAATTGGAAAAAATAAAATAAAAATAGCTACATGTAAAGATATACATTCTACTCTTCTTAAATGTAATTTTGTACTTTAACTTTTTATTTCTTTGCTAAGATAGAAACTCCTTCTCTTTTATTAAGAAGGAGGGCAAGGCAAGAACAAACTTGTAATAAAAAGAGTGGGGGGAAGGGTTTTCAGGAACATTTATAAAGGACACATGGACAAAACCAAAAGAGGGTAGGACTGAGGGTGGGAGGTGGTGATGGCTGGGGTTGGGGGAGTGGCGGGGGGAAAATGGAGATGACTGTATTTGAACAACAATTAAAAAATGAAAAAAAATGAACAGAGACCAAGAAAAAGGGAAAGTGTGCAAATCTCATTTACTTATTCAAGTTCGTCCCAAGTTACAGTGGGATAAATAACTGAAGAGAATGCAACAAGTTTGTAAGTGATATTGGCACAAACCCTGCTAGCTTGGCAAACCATCACTGAGAAATTCTGCCAGTAGGACTTTCCAATAAAATTCCACTAACGTCATTAGACCTAAAAGAAGAATACTATACTCCATTTTCACCCTGGGCTCCTTGAGTTCATCTAGAGTCTTTCAATACATTGAAAGGAATGACCTCACCAACTCAAAAGCAAACAGTCTCTGCCAGCAAACATAAGAATTAGACTGAATGATATGGAAAACCCAGAAAAAACAAAACTAAACAAAACCAACTCAGCCTTTGTTTTCATACTTATTTTTAAAACTTTGAAAACCTATTCAATATTCAAGAGTCAACAGGCCCTGTACCACTTTGTAGGCTAAGGAACTTAAGCTATGAAATGTATTTCAAAGTAACACAATTCACATCTGGTTTTTGATATGACTCTATTTAGCTCAATTGCTTTCCCTAGATATAATCTTGTGATGAAATGAAATTGAAATTAATTTTCAAATATTTTTACTTCCTTCTAAATAGATTTTATAGTCTGTTCTCTCCCTGAAATTTTAATTTTCCCTATAATATTAGGGAGAAAACTTTTTAAAAAGTGATACATATCTAACATAGAAAACAAGAAATGTTTTTTGTTGTTGTTGTTCTTTTTTTAAAGATAACCTAGTCTGATATTGGTCATCCTAAAAACGTTTGACTGTACTAGTGCTTTAGATATTAATTAAGTAGCTGGCCATGTGTAATAAACTCTGCTTACTCAAAAGGCAGATAATTAGAAAGATTGTAGCAGGATACTTATGGGCTCATTGTGGAGGTCCTGAAGCCACCCACCACTCTAAAACACTCAGGGCAAATGAACATTTACAGCAAATAATTTCTAAATTCTTCAGGAATTATAACAAAATGATGCTCAGTATAATTTACTCTTTACATAGGGTGGACTATTTGCATTTCTTTTATAATATTTTCTAGGTAAAATTTTAGCAAAACACTTTAGAAATCAAACTGATAAGAAAATAAAAATGGTGTCATTTGAAATATCAAACCCTTAACATTCCCAAGCATTGCTGAGGGATGGGTGAAGCGATCAGCTATCATAATGAATCAATAGAAATAACCTTCCCACATCAGATATGCATGCAAATGGAATGTGATATTAGACTCAATACAATTGACATATGTACATGTAGGTACAAAATACAGTCTGTAAATACAAATGAGTTCCATCAGATTTACTATACAGGACATCAGTGGTAGCAGACTGCAATTACTTAATAACAACAAGGTTGATTTTTGAGGGGAAAAAGAGAGAAGGGTCTTATCCTGGAAAAATAGTGAGAAAGAGGTATCATCAAAGAGCTAAAATTTTCTTTGGCATGGTAAAGGGGGGAGTTGACTTTACCAACTTATATACATGACATGTCTCTATATTTGTGGGTGATGCAATGCCATTCCATTACATAAAGTTGTTTGATGTTTTCTAATATGCCTTCATATAAATATTTTATTAAATATGTTTGTGAATATAACAAATGATATTAAAGACAGAAACTGTACAATGCAAATTCTTTGTATGTAAATTGAGTAATATATACCAACAGTTCTTGAAACCAAGGCCCTACAACATGCAGCTCATTAGTATTGCCCTTGTTCTGTTCAACAGATGAGACCAGACACAAAGGAAGTGATCAGAATAATTTGCAAATAACAAAGACCTTGTGCAATATGTCTAAACATATATTAGAAGAAAGTATTTTGACATCCACTCATAGGGATAAATGACCTTGTAGACAACTCATATAAAAAAACAGGTACACATTTTCATAAATCTTAGTCTTCAGAAAAATAAATCTTGTCAGTTTTAACCAATAAGCAGCCTTGCAGGGGAAAAAGGAACCAATAAATAAGGCTGATTACCAGAAACAAATCAGCGGGTTGTTTGATAAGTGTGTGTGTGTGTGTGTGTGTGTGTGTGTGTGTGTGTGTGAATGTTGGGATAAGCAGTGTCTATAATCCCATTTACTTATAATTTGAAGTTAAATTATTCATAGTTTGCCACATGTTATGGATTATATGTCTTCTCTAAATAATTATTATAAAATTCATCTAATGTATCTTAACTAATCCTGTTAAAAAAACAATAGGCTTCAAAATGGTATAACAAACCAAGAATGGGCCAAGGAATCATTTTGTTGCATTTGTATTTTAGCCATTATCAACAATAAATCTACTCAAACATTATGCTAAATTTTTATTTATTAAAATGGAATCCAATATGAAAATTAAATAAGCATAAACAATTAAACTTATACTAAATCTTTAATCAGCTAAGCAAGCCAATATTTTTAAATGCTGGGCAAGAACTGTCATGGAGACTTAGAAAAGCAGTGACAAAATCATTTTCCAGGAAATACAGTGCAGATGGGGTTAAATGGTGACTGGGTCATCCTTCAACATAGAATTAATAACAAGAGGCCAATATAATAATCCCACATGTAGTTTTCTATAAATGAGGTTCAGTTTGGTCTCAACTCTTCTAAGGACAAAACATTGAATTTTATTAAGTATACACAGAATTGACAACATATTTCCAAACAGTTTAGTATTAAACATTTTGCAACTCTTTATATCCAATATTGAACGTTTTGCATGGTTTCTTCACTGTGTTGTCTCAACTATTCATGGCCTTTCTTGAGAGTTGTCTCCCCTAAGCTCAGAGTTATTTAAAAGAAAATTAAGAAAGCAAATGAAACAAAAGTAAATTGGTTGAATGGGCCAACAACCTAATGTTTGAACGTGTTGGTTTGCCTTTAATTGTATCTAGAATAATTCAACAGACTGCATTCTAAGATCATGGCAAGGCACCTCTATTCCCACCATTGGGCAACCTGGGCCCCAAGAAGTTGAGTTAGAGGTATGGACTGGTGAAATACACAGTACCCGACTCAGCATGCTGAGCTAAAAAAAATATTTTTTCCTAATGTATCCAGTTAAAAACTCGTCATTAAACACCAAAAAATATTAAAGTCTAATTATAACTAATGTTTGCATTGCTGCTGCAGAAAAGAATACAACAGCCGCCTTGCCCATGCTCTGCTGAGTGTGAGTGGAACGCAGCCAAAACCCAGGATGGCATTAAATTTGGTTCATTAAAAATAGGAAGGATTATATCTGAAATATATTTAGGTAGTGCAACTTTTGTAAGTTGTAATCATTGATTTTTTTCTTTTTTCCAAATAATGAGGAATAGTAGATGAAAATGAACCTTAATCAGGCCTACAAGGCCTACAGAGTTCTTTGGACCCACTTTCTCAAAAACCAGTGGGTCTTGCTCGCTGGGCAAGGCAAATGTTACCATTACCAGTAAGCTTGTGATATGTATAAAACACACACACACACAAAGAAACTATAGGGGGATGTCAAACACATATCAAATACATATCTTAGAGAACATCCTATGGACAGTGTTTGACCCATTTCTCACCCCAGCAACGCTGACCTCAGGAGCACAGTACCTGCCAATGAACAAAGCATATATGTGTGTTTAATTGCTAGTGTGAGCCAGAGACACCACTCTTGATCTATATGATACAGTTTGTAGTAATGGGTTTAGAAGGCTTCCTGATTCCCTGATCACTCTCTGAACTAAGCCAACTGCAACATTTAAGGTTTAGAGAAACGCAATACCTGCAATAGGTCACAGACAGTGGAGCAAGCAGCCTGTAAAAATGGGAAGGAGAGAAATCCATAAGAGCACAGGTTTACAGCTTCTACCTAGAAATTACTCAGTATCTGTGAGCTATAAAATTGAACTTAAACATATGGAGGTTGCTGAAACAGGACTCAAAAAGAATTATGGGTAGCTGTCAGCAGGCAAGGTATCAAGTGTACTTGTGAAGTTATCATTCACATGAAGTGTCACAGTCACAGAAAAGGTATTAAAAAGGCATTCCATATCTGGTAGGGCATTCCATGGTCTGAGTTTAGCTGGTTATTCAGGTGTCTTCTTGTTGTAGGAGGTGCAACAGGTTGAGATTTATCCACTTGCAACCAAAAAGTTCAAAATAGCAAATAGCAAGCATCCACTTATTTCCAGCTGCTTGCTCCTCAGCCACGGGAGCAGGAATGTTTGACAAGGATAAATCACTCAACTGTGTTCAGGATGAGTAAGTCACAACACCTGTGAGGATCTGGCTATGTTGTCTTACTTTTGTTGACTGGTTTGCCTCCATTCATTATTGCAGATGCACTTGTGCTTTTACTTGGTGTCACCCCAGCCTTTGGGACCGTTTCTCCAACATCATGCAAAGATGGTTCTCGGTACATGGCAACTAGTGACATAAAGGAGGGCATGAAGAAAGAAGGAAAAGAAATTGTTACCTAGTTAATTTCCACTGCACACTCCTTTCCACTGCACACTGACAACACTTGAACCACAATCCCTATTCATCTTTTCAAACATTTACACCCTAGATTATTAAATTATTTCTCTCTGAAGTGGTTCAAAAGCAAACATGGTCACACTAGTGTCAACTTCAAAGCTATACAAAGCAATAACAAAGGATTTGCTTTTCCTGAACCAGGGCCTTAGGAAGATCATTGTTTAGATTTCCTCTCCCAAGATTATGAAAAGAGACTCTTAAATAACGGAAAGCAACTATGTGGTATTTTCTAGTTTTTAAGCCTCATTTCATGATATATTATTACAAATCTAATAACTGATGTCATACAAAGCAGAAGTACATAATGGGAAGAGAGCAAGTGGGACTGACATCTGGTGAACTCTGAGAAACTGCCTGAACAGTGTCTGGCCACACAGTCAACAAGAATTCATGTGGCTTTTAAGAAAATCATTCTTAGGAATCGTAAGAAAAAGGGTGTCTGATGCTTAGGGAAGACTAGGTGAGTTAAAAATCATCTGTCATCAGAAACACAAGTGTATTAGACCTGCCAAGCCTGCTTTTGAGGTTTTTGAAAGTTCAGGTCCTAGAATAATGTTGTATGGTAAAGTTCATTATAATGTTGAAGAAAACAATTTGATTTCTATTACCTTAAAATTGGTTTCATTAGGCCCTGGCTGGCGTAGCTCAGTGGATTGAGCACGGGCCTGTGAACCAGAGTATCGCGGTTCGATTCTCAGTCAGGGCACATGCCTGGGTTGTGGGCCAGTTCCCAGCAGGGGACTCAAAAGAGGCAACCATACATTGATATTTCTCTCCCAGTCTTTCTCCTTCCCTTCCCCTCTCTCGAAAAATAAATAAATAAAATATATTTAAAAAAAAATTGGTTTCATTAGACTATGTTTTGCTTAAAGTTGCAGTTCCCAGTATGTGTAGATAACATTAAGTGGACTTAATATACTTTATGAAGAGAACTTATGTATAGTTAGGATGAACTACCATATATTGTACAGTCTTTTTGTTTAAGGTGGTAGAATTTTACCTTTTGCATCTGTGAATCATGATTTTTCAGTATCACATATATTTGAAAGTGCTTGTATACATCAGACCTATATTAAATGACTTGGCAAGGTGTTAAAAGGGATTAATCCATATCCTTGAAACACTTTCCAATCTCTTACTCCCACTACTAATCCAATTAAGAGACAATAATATCAGAGCACTAACTTTGATTGTCTAGTGTGAAGTTGTATAAAATATATGAATGCCCCAGAGCATCACTAATTAATCAAGTAGCTAGTTTGCCCTAACACTTTCAATGACATAATTTATATCATGTATGGGTCTTGAAAATTTGAAATTAATTTCCTCTATCAACTGGACTATGTGATAACCTCTGTCATTACAATACCCCCTCAATTGTTTTTTAAGAGTACTTGTATTTGATAATTACTTGAAAATATTGTTCCTCTCTTCCTTTATATAAATATATAAATATATAAATATATAAATATATAAATATATAAATATATATATTAAATATATATATATATATATAAACACACACACACAACAGTTCAGCGTGTGACTAAAATACCAACTGATATTATTTTACCACACCTTTAGAGTCTCAGATATTTCTTACTGGATATATTAAACAGTTGGTTTCCAAATTTTGCTTCAGTTAAAAGAGACATAAAGAACTTTTTGCTTTTCATTACATTTCTGCAGCTAAGAGATAAAGTTTTAGAAATTTAGTCAATTCTTAAGTGTCTATATTAAAAAAATTGATGTAATGAGACAAAGAAAACAAGATTTATTTAGAGCTACTATTGACTAAGTTTTTAAACTTTTCACTTGTATTTGATTATTAGTTAATCTAATGTTTTCAAAATTAATTTAAAGAGTATAAAACAAATCATTGAGGTATTATTTTAGAAGAACAGAGAAACCCTCTAATTCCTTATTTATTCTCTAATTTTCCTTATGATTTATCATATAATGAGAATAATTTACTCATATTACAGTTTGGCATGAGCTTTCTTTTCCTAGATAGACCCTGTTGGTTAATTGTTTGGGTTTCAATGACTTGTTCTAGAGACAAATTTAGGAGAGGATGATAGGAAGTCAATATCATTGAAATTATAAAGATGCTTTTAATCAACAAGAGTGCTTTTCCAAAATTAGGAAAACTGAAAGCTGAATTATAAACTCACATATTATTAATATTTTAATTTTCAATATTTTAAATTATTTCTCATAGAGAAAATGTGGATTTATAAAACCAATGTGGATATTTTTCTGAGGCTTTCCTGTAAGGATAAAAAACAAGCATGAAATCAAACTGTCTAAACTAGCTTAGAGTGCTTATTTAGTTATTGTATATCTAATTTTCCATGAAAAATAAGAAATATTTAAATTAAAAATGCTATGGAGAAGCCTCAATGTCATCTTTTGTAATTCACAAGCAAATTTATATAGATAAAAGTAAATGATACTTCTAACCAAATCCTTGATGAGAAAGGTGAAAATATTTCTAATTAACAAAAGTTTATAGCCTGCTTTCTGAGAATCTGGTAAAAGTAAATGACTTCATTGTTTGCAGGTGAATGTAAAAGAAGATAATGCCACAATTAAGAATACTAAACAATTATTCAGCTTGAAAGGGAGATATTTAAATCAACAAGTTCTTTAAAAGACAAGTTATTAACTTCATTTTCTGTACTTAAAATAATTTATAATAATATGACTACTTTAAGCTAGATAACATCAAAATAGGCAAATATATTTACTCCATAATACTCTAAACTAGGTGTTCCTAATATATCTATTGTCACAGCCACAGATTTGTAACATAATTATAAATTTAAAAATTTTTAAAGTAAATTAATTAATTTATTTTAGGGGCTAGAAAAGTTGGAGCAGTGAGGATTTAAGACATTAGAAATAGGTAGAGAGGGAGTTTTGCTGGCATTGTTAAAATTAATGGAATATAGAGGTGTATATATTCTATCAATTTGTGAGTATAAATATGGATATACATATATAGACATAGATATACATACAGCAAAGTGTCCAAATCTTAAATGTACAATGTAACTACATGTCTGTGCAACCATCACCCAGGTCAAGATAAAGAACAGTTCCAGCATTCCCCAAGGGTTACTGATGCCCAAAGCAGTGTTATCAATACAAAGAATAAATGTGTAATAAATCTGATAAGGATATGCACACATAACACTCACCTTCCAATGGCTTGGGTAGAAAATGAGCTGCTGGTTTGGTTTTCTTTACTCTGTTTCCTTTCATAGCTTGCCCTTCTTTATTCAGCCCCAAAAACCATGCTCTACCAGATTCCTGTTGTCTGTACAGCATAGATGAGTAGATTACATAATAGTTTTCAAAAACAGATTCTTTAAACTTGCATTCAGGGGTAAAAAGTTCCTGCCGAGAGAAACAGGAAAAAAGAAAGTCAGACCAAAAAATGGGGGTTTCACTATGATTTCTCTTCCTTCCTCCAGAACCTCATCCACCATGGTGAAAGAGTCAGCTTTTGGGCAGAGATGACCAGACACTTCTTCTTGCAATGCATTAATTGCCCATACACTTTTTCTCAATATACAATAAATAGAGAATCTGATATTATTGGTAATATACTTACAGGCAAAAGTATAGATGTTCTTTTTTAAAAAATTATTGTATTGTTGTTCAATTATAGTTGTCTGTATTTTCTCCCCACCCCCTCCATACTCACCTTTTTCCCTTGCTTCCATCCTCCCCCTTGGTTTTGTCCATGTGTCCTTTATAGTAGTTCATGAAAGCCCTTCTCCCCTCGGTCCTTGCCCATCCCTTCTGACTATTGTTAAATTGTTCTTATTTTCAATGACTCTGGTTATATTTCGTTTGCTTTTTTTCTTTTGTTGATTATGTTGCAGTTAAAGGTGAGATCATATGATATTCATCCCTCACCACCTGGCTTATTTCACTTGGCATAATGCTCTCCAGTCTCATCTATGCTGTTGCAAAGGGTATAAACTCCTTTCTTTCTGCTGAATAGAACTCCATTGTGTAAATATACTATGTTTTTTTTATCCACTCATTTGTTGATGGGCACTTAGGTTGCTTTCAGCACTTGGCTATTGTAAATCGTGCTGCTATGAACATTGGGGTGCATAGTTTCTTTTGGATTGATGTTTCAGGGCTCTTAGGGTATAATCCCAGTAGCAGAATTGCTGGATCAAAAGGCAGTTTCATTTTTAGATGTTCTTTAATAGAAAATAGAAGACATAATCAAACTCAAAATCCTTTTACTTAAACTAAAAATAATGCAATCAGGGTATAACCAGCCAAAGCACCTTAAAGTAGTATCATATCTACAATACACTAAAAAATCAAATATATATTTAAGGTATTTGCTAATCTGTTTTCAATATTTCCATAGGAATAACATATGATACCTTAACAGTTGCCAATTGTTCATCAGATCAGTGATATTCTAGTGTGATACATTTTAACTACAAAGACAAACTGAAACCCCAAACTAAAACCATAACAGTCAGCTAGCACATCAACTAGACGCTGGAGCTGAGGCCAAGTGTGTTAGCTGTTCAAAGTGACAGAAGCTGAAAATAATGACCTAATTCTATGGTTTGGAGCTCCACTGGAACTCTTGAAGAAAAACATTAGAATCTTACCTGAACAAAATCCACCCAGCACTTTTGGAAAGAGAGTAATGCATTAAATGCTGTGACTCTCAATGCCATGATCTATATTGATTAACAAATAGCAAAAAACTTTACTACTTTATGGATTATCATTAATAACATAAATATTCATAGATGACTTTGACATGTTTCTGAGATTTAACCTACAAAGGCACTTGTGATAGACCTCTATTAAAATTAATTTAAAAGTTTAACCTCTCCAGCTAAAGATCTTGGAAGCCCCTTGACTTGTTTTTATGGCTATTTTAAATAGGCTCAACACTTTGCTATTATATATGTATATATACACAAATGGTGCTATTTGTATATGAAACATACAAAAATATATTTCATATGTAATATCAACACTGTGCTATTTTATATGTTTAATTTTATATGAAATATAATACAGAAGAGCTTTATTGTCATTAATCTTTTAAAAATATTACTGTAGACTGACAGCTATGGTTGGGGGTGGTGGTGAAAGAAGGTGAAGGGATTAGCCAAAGAACATATATAGACATAGAAAACACTGTGGTGATGGCCAGAGGGAAAGACAGGTGGATACTAGGTGGAGGTGAGTGGGCAGAGGAGAAGAAAATGGGGACATCTGGTAATAGTGTCAATAATAAAAATAAATTAGAAATAAAAATTTAAAATATCACTGTACTTAAAAATTATCTTAATAATGTTCATAAATGCACAAAATAATAACTTGTTTTTCATTTAAAAAGTAATTTTATGCATATTCTGAAAAACATATCCCTTAGAATCAAAAAATTAAAACTTTTAAGAGTTAAAGTTATGCTAACTACAATAAAAAATATGACATTGTTGCCAGTAGAAACTTTCTTTCAATATTTTTCATGAGAGTGTGAATTATTATTAAACAGTGGCTCTTTCAGGTTATAATTTATTCAGAGTACCCCATAACTTTAGGTAGTTCACTGAGAGCTAATGGTTTTTCAAGAGGAACAGGTTTTGTTAATGGCAGACACTTTTCATGACAAAGATGATGGATCCAATGATTAATTTGATATTAAAATAGCCAAAAGAGATTTTTAGACTCTTCCAAAAGGAATTTATGTAGACCTTCATTTCTTCTAGATTATTCTACCTCAGGCTTGATGTAGATCTCATTGAAATAAATGTTCTGGCCTTTCACTAAGTCCTTTTTTCTCCAAATCCCTCTATTAGTTACTTCATTAATAAATAACTCTCATTAATAATAACTCAATACTGAGTTAATATCAAGAGGAGATACTAATAAAACCATATTTGTTCATACATTTGTGATAAAGGAAATAAAACGGAATGCTGTAAATCTAGTTTATCCTAAAAAGATTACTAAATACAATATATTGGTTGAAAGTATACTTTTGATAACAAATAGATGAGACATACTTTTACTGAGCTATAGCAAGACATCCAAGCATATTACTTATTAGTTAAAACCTATCTCAAATCCAGCTAGAGTGGGATTGATAAAAGCTGATGCAAGCTGAGGTCACTCATGAGTTGGAGGAGCTGGCACCTGCCTTTTAAGACTCCTGGTCTTTGCCCAAAGCCTGGTTCACCTTATTAATAAATTGCCAATGACTGACCTTTATCTAGAGAAACGAGGGCTTCCGGCTTTGGAAATGCAGGTCCATAGGGCAGTCAACACTTATTCTTATCTGATTCCCTTTTATAATGTAAGAAACAAGGAAGACAGTGCTTTGCTACCTTAGCAAATTAGCAGTGTATTATCTACACATGGTAAATTGACTTGGTTGAATATGAAAGAGAATAAAGAATCCTGATGTGAAAGAACCACTCATTGTCAAAGCATAAATTAAGGACATCTGACATTAAGTCTTTGTAGATAAAATGTTTGCATTTTAGAATTCTAAGGAAGACGATTCCACATCTTTCTGTGAGCTGTGCTACAGACTTCACAGGCAATTCTTTCTGCTTTCTATAGTGAGAGCTATGGGCTTCGGTTCTTCTCTATTCTTGGTTAAATAACTAATGTGTAAAACATACTACATTCAAAAGCACTATTATCTAATACATTTTGCTCAATTTCACTAGATTTTCAAGAATTCAATCTGCTCATCAAACATTGGAGCACAGAAAGAATCCCTGCATTCCCAGGAATACTGATAGGACTAATAAAAGTTAAGATTAGTTACTATTGGGTTTGCCAAAAAGTTTGTTTAGTTTTTTTTCATAAAATAAAAGACACAATTTTCATTTTCACCAATGAATTTATTGATTTGTGTATTTTGAATATGCTGGCTATCCCCTGCATGGCGTAACATAATTTTCAATTAATGTGTCAATTTGATCGTTATGAACTTTAACTGGTCTACCCAACCATGGAGCACCATCCAGTGAGAAATGTCCAGCACAAAACTTTGCAAACCACTTCTGATACCTCTAATAAGTCACATCACCTTCTCCATACACTGCACATATTTTTTTGCATTTCATTTGCCTTTTTACCTTTCTTGAAATATTAAGCATAATATGCCAAAATGTTGCTTATTTTTTCTCATCTTCAATATTAATATGTCTACACAAAAATAAGCCAATTTTAATGTTTGTTTTAGTGCATACTGATATGACAGCTGTCACAACACAATCTAAGCAGTACTAGAGCCATCTTACAGAAAAATCCAAATAAACTTTTTGCCCAATCCAATATATATTGGATGTAATAAGAATTAAATATACATTCAGTACATATATAGGAGGCAGTGGAGTAGGGTGACTATGAATTCCTGTGGAACCAGATCTCCTGGTTCAACCCTGGCCTTACTTCTTACCAGCTGCCCTCGGTGAAATTACTTAATCTCTGGCTGTCAGTTTCCACCTCTCTAAAGTGAGTACAAAACCATAGGATAATAAAATGGTTGGGAGGATTGAGTGAATTGATACATGTTATATATTTAGAGAAGAATGTGGCATGTAGTAAGTACTCACTACTTAGTCTAGGATATTACGTATCATCTAAAATATAACCCATATCAATTATATCAATATTTCAGCAAATTAAAATTTAGGTAAATAATTAGTCACTGAGAATATTTTACACTAAATATTGGGCTCAGAATCAGATACACCAAAATGAACATATGCAAAGCAAACAAGATTCTTCACTGGAAGAATTTTGTTAAAATTCTTGTGCATAGAAAATGACAGTACAATGGAATATCTGCTGTGGTAGACTTATCTTCAAAAAACTAGAGGAATAATAGGTGTAAGAAATGCCATTGTGAAAGACAATGGTGAGAAATGACATGGTACATTTGTAGAACTATAATTAGTCCATTACGGAGACTTTGTGGAGGCAGAAGTGAATAGGAAAGGTTCAATAAATATGACAAAGGGTCTGATAAACAGGCTGGATTTCTTATGAGCAAGGGGTAGACATGGAGACTTTTTAAATAAGCAAGAGAAAAATAGTATAGTCTTATTATTATTTTATAAACACCATGTGTTTCCAATGTAGAGGAAAATTTTGAGTAGTGTACATAGCACTCATATACTGATGTATTGAAGCCCAACCTCTTGCAAAATGAACTTGAAAATTATAGAACATTGTATGTGTGCTCATTTTAGCAATTAGTATAGATATAATAGTTGAGGATACACTAAGTCAGTGGAGAAATACCACCAGAATTATGTCACATTATAAATTGAGTTCTGAACTTCTTGGTAGCCAAGATCAAAAGATAAAAGCTATAGGTTATAATA